TAATTTTTATTATATATAAATACGTTTTCAACATTGCATTAGTAATAGATGTGTAAATTTTGTATGCATTTATACTTACAGCAACGTAAAGCGGTTCTTGATGATAAGACCATATGGTTTGCATGTTTTCCGCGTTATTTTTACAGTGTGAGAGTGAATTTATTATTTTAGTAAAACTACTTTGTAATATTTTTGTTTATATTTATACATTCGCTGTTAACGAAACTTTATTATGTAATTATAAATTTGTAATATTATAGAACAATAAAAAAACTTATAAATAAATAAAAAATAAATAAATAAAAAATCTAACTATATTATTGTAAATGGGTAATAAAGTTAAACTATTTAAGCAAGGTTGTCCTATTGTTGATCTAAGTTCATTCTTAACTCTATTAAGGACAGAAAAGGTTTTTCTTCTGCACAGTTTGAAAAAAAACACCAAACCTTATGCTGCTTGTGTCATATGCATTAGCTCTCTGTTGAAACTGGAAAACTTAAAATAATTTCTCCTCCGTTTACTAATATTTTTTTAATTTATTTAGGTGCCTTAAGAAGCCCTTACGGCTTTATCATAGAGTACCGCGGATGAGCATTTAATAGGAAGTTAACGCTTCATTTCTAACCGGTGCACAGTGGGATAAAATCGCATTTTTTGTGCCAAAATTAGTTTTAATTTTCTTTATTGTTATTAACTAATTAAACAATATATAATGTTATGTTTTAAAATAATTATTAAAAGGAATATCAAGCTCATATATATTGCTAAAAAAGTTTATTTTTTGGTTTAATTACAATTAAAATTACGAACTAGATATATCTATATTTTTAGAACGTAGAATTCTCGCAAGTAAAATGTTCAACAACCCCCCGGAGAAAACTTTTCTTTTACAGATGAAATCGTTTTTCTATAAGATGAATTATCAGATGTAGATAAAAGTCTTTTCATTACATGTCGTTTGTCTTTGTTCTTGAATTTTTACGGGAATGATATTTTACATGTCATTACATGTCGTTTGTCTTTGTTCTTGAATTTTTACGGGAATGATGTTCCCTATTTAATAGGGAACATCATACTATAGGGAACACCAAAATATTTATAATCAAAATATTTTATAGGGAACATCAAAATATAGGGCATATATTTTCTAAATTCTTTATTTCTAGTTTGTTAAGCTTCTTCACTAAATAAACCTATTGGTAAGAATAGATTTTCTATTACTTCTGCTCCATGAATTAAAATCTTGTGAAGACTCTGAGGCATGTAATACCAATGGTATGAGTAGAGTTTTGCGGTCTCCAGACAAAGTAAGCGAAACTTACTAGTATCTATTTGAAATCCACTTGATATAAAAATTAGGATTATATGCAACTTTACAATTAGTTCCTTGTTTATTCCTGTAATATCAGTCTTCATTTGAAAAAACTTTTCAAGCAGTATTGCCGTCATTTGAGTTTCCAGATCCTCCACATTTTGGGTAGTCAACAATAAGTCCCATTTTGTGTTGAAATTCTTTTTGTTTCTTCATTTTTTCTTCTTTAACAAGAGATTTCTCTTTGTCTCCTCTTGCTTGCCATTTTTTTTTATTGGTATCTTATATGAAGTATGAATGAGACACTCAAAAATTTTTATCCATGCATGAAGTGTAGATAATCCATATTGAAACTCATCAGGTGAGTATGGAAGTTTCGTAACTTTGTCAATGTTGTTCATATTTTTTTGTGAACACCCCCATATACAGCAACATTGACTTGAGCTTGTTACATTTGGTAGAACAGTATGGACTTTGCCATTTGTCATTGTAACTTGAATGATATGTTTGACTGAAATAGACTTGCCATTAGATAACTGAACAAAAGTTTCTACAAGATTTAAGATCTCGTCTTTCAAAGTAGCTTCTTCAATAAGAAATAAATCAGTTGTTTTTTTTCAAACTTAAATCTTAAAGGTCGGCAGTATTAAGTGGAAGAAGGTTTTGGATTTCTCCAAATGACAGATAGGGTTTCTCTAACATAAGTTGTAATCTGAAGTCGAACCAGGCAAGTTAGAAACACTGATTTTTCTCTTTTCAAGTCGCGAAAACTTTCAACAGACATTTTATGTTTATACGCTTTGACCAGTAGACCCATCAAAACCTACTTTGTAATGAGGAGATACCAGGTCAAACATTTCTAGCATACATAAAACCTCATTTTGAACTTGACAAAGTTTTTGAGCTGTATGGTCACATAAACTTTGCAGCGGTATACTTGCAGTATAGTCAGTAAAAATCATCTTATTAAGGTTTTTGGTTATTATATAGTCAGTAAAAATCATGTTATTAGGTTTTTCTCCGCAATACAATTTTTTTTTTTAATTGCGGAGCAATTAATTAGTATTTTTATAGCATTTCTCATTTTGATTTCAAATATGCAACTCATTTTTCACCATCACGTCAAGTTGTAAAGATATTTGGGTTCAAATCTTTAGTATTTGGCGTAAAGTCCCTAATATTGTTGAAAAAAAGTTATTCAAAAGTATGTCAATCTGGGTCTCAAAAGAAGCGTATTTTCATAGAGACCTTAGAAAACATAATTATTTTTCCTTAAAACTTATTGACAAAAAAAAAGTAATGTTAAAAAATGCTTAAGACTCTTTAAAAAATTGTGACAAAATGTTTTTTAGCAATATTTTTTTTTCAAACTTTTGAGATCTCTATGAAAATATACACTTCTTTTGAGACCCAGGTTGACATACTTTTGAATAACTTTTTTTTCAACAATATTAGGGATTTAACCCAATATACTAAAGATTTGAACCCAAATATCTTTACAACTTGACCTGATAGTGAAAAATGAGTTGCATATTTGAAATCAAAATGAGAAATGCTATAAAAAAAACTATTAGTTTGCTCGGCAACAGAAAAAATTTTTTTTTGTTGACCTGTGTTATTTAATTTACTGTTGCAGGAATTTTGAGTTTTCATAAATGGTGATGTTTATAACGATTTTTATTTCCGCCATTATCAAAGTCGATTTTTATGTCTTCTTTGCAATTTTTTTTATAAATTGGCTGATTTTCAAAACTTTATTAAATTTACTATTACTAGATTTAAAACTAGATTTTATTAGCTCTCTCAAACAATATCTAATAACATACTCCTTATTTGATTAGATCACCTTGGCAGAGTATATCAAAAAACACCTTTACTGAGAATAAACTGTTTTTTTTTTATCATAATATGCATCTTTGAGTACCAATATCTTTGTAACTACAAATCAAATGATACTAAAACTCCGTTCATACAGACGACCAAGCACATTTTGCTTTAAATGCGTAGTAAACTGTTTATAAGAAAACTGCATAAACAACAATAAAACAATAATACGAAGTTGTTTTGTCAATATAAAAAGCTTGTACTAATATAAAAACAATCTTGCCATGTTGTTTTATACAGTTTATAAGATTAAAAACATAAAACACGTTTAAAATAAAACGTGTTTTATCGTCAGTGTGAACTAGGGATGTACCGAAGCTTCGGCTTCGGCATGTAAACTTATATTCTGGCTTATGATATTATGAAGACTTTTAAATTTTATTTAAAATAAATTAAAGGCTGAAACTTTGATTACTTTGAGCTCTTATATTTATCTTCAAAATTTATTTAAATTAAATAAACAATTTAAATCAAATAAATATCAGCCTGCTCAGCCCCTGTTTGTTTATAAACATAAAGTAAATAATAATATAATTATAAATAAAAAATTTATAATATATTCTATTTATTATTTTATTTAAAGCTCACTCTATAGAGTTGTTAGATTACTATGGAAGCTTTTATCACAGGTAGTTAATATTTGATTTCAGATACTGATGCAGATTTATCCATTACAGAGACAGAAGAATAGTGAATACTAAGATTTCAGAGTGTAAAAGATTAAAAGAAGCTAAAGAAAATGTTATGTAGTGTAAAGTTAAAAATAATCACACACACAAAAAAAAAAAATACTTAAAAGTGTGTAAAAATGAAGTTAGAGTGAAATCTATCATTTTGTACTTTTTTTTAGCACCAAGTTCACAACAGTTGTAGTGGAATACAAAATGGTCTTAACTTGGGTTTTTTTTAGTTTAGAAACTGTTCGTTTAATGAATACAGAGAAGTAAAAAAAAGATATTGAAATAAATATCAACAAAATAATAAAGTGTGTTTGTAAGATTTTTTATGTTGTAGATACAACTAGATCAGCTAAGAGTGTTTATTTAAAGAAAGAGTGATCAAGTGCAAAAGAGAAATTTACTCTAGTAATGTTTAGAGATTTTTATCCACTTCTATTAACAAAAGGTGCATTAAAAATGAAATATACAGCACATGAAAAGATGCTATATAACATTAATATGGTTTGCACACAGAAAAAGTAGAACTAGAAGTAGGAAAATTTGCGGAGAATGTTTCAAAAAAGCTTAAGTTTAAAAAAAAAACGGTTGGTGCGGTCAAATATCAGAAACGATATAATGAGAAACTTTCTAACAGGGACGCTGAGAGCTTTTGCCCTGCCTGGGACAGCAACCCTGACTGGCGTCCTCATTTTTATACGATTTTTCTATATTATTAGTAAAGGACCTTAGTTTTGGTACCTTTTTTGTGTTACACCCCTGCTGATCTGAATGCTGATTAAATTTTAAGCATATATAGTGTCGAAGCTTCGGCAAAATTTTAGCTTCGGTACATCCCTAGTGTGAACGGGATATACTATTTTAATAAATATTTTTTTTTTTTTGATTTTTTGCCACGCTTCGTATCACTGTGAGGCCATTGATAATTTTGATTAAATAAAAAAATTAATAGATCTCGGTAGACATAAAATAAAATTATTTTCAACGATAACATTCAATAAACATCAACTTTTCTAGAATACAGATTATTTTATAGATTAATTAATTGAATAGTTCAATCTTGGCGTTTTCAAAAGTTTTGCATTTTGCATTTAATATATCTATGCTACAATAAAAAATAAAAGTGTAACAACATAATATGATTTTCTTTTTAAATATAATTTCTGTCATATTTAGTTTTTTCGAATTCAAGTATCGGCGCTATTGAATATTATTTAAAAAAAAATGATTCATTGTTTCGCAAAGACGATTTTCGCATAGCAAATCTGACATTTTATTCAATGTATTTTCAGCATAGTAAAGCTGACTTCTCGCTTAAAAGATATCAGAATATTAAGGATATTGTCGGCTACAGTAGAGATACGGAAATTGATGCTGAACAAAATTCAACAATGAAGAAACCTGGTTATGTGGTCGTTAAAGCACAGAACTTGTGTTTATAATTTTCTAGAACGCGAAATTCAAAATAGGCGTGTATACCATCCGATATAAAAAACAGTAAAATAAAAAAAAACAATCTGGGTTTATAGAACTCCAAACGCCGTTACTCAAAAAACCAACACCAAACACCATTACTAGAAGCAAGTTTCCAAAAATGTAGATTTTAATTTAAGCTAAGAAATAAAAAATAAAGAATTCAGTTGAAGCTCATAAAATACAAATACAATTACTACTATAGTTGCTTCATAAAATTATTTTTACTTTGATATTGTTTAAAATTATTTTTTACCTCTGTATTTCTTTGTTCGTAACAGAAATTGAATAGAAACCAGTTCTCGATTTGATCCAAAAGATATGAAGTTTGTTGAAGTAGGAAATATAGTTTTATCACATATATCTGTCCACCAATTACTGCATTCTAGAAATTTTTTTCCATTTGCGTTTAGCTGATCTGGTTCAATTACTAAAAGTTCATTATTAATTACTAAATAAGATCATTTACAAAACTCAATCATTAGTACTGTTATTAATTACTAAATTATCATAACTATTTATAACTGATAGAATTTTCAACTAATAGAGTAAAACATAATAATCACTTGAACCAATTGAATTAATTATAGAATAACGTTTTGATAAATTTAATAAATATATTAAAAAATAGAATTGATGCAAGGTTTGCAAGGTTTTCGCAAATGACGGATGTGTTTTTTAATAGTGAAAAGCAAAAACTATAAACTTGAGTAAAGAAGAACAAAGTAAAAACGAACAAGAAAAGAAACAAAAACAAGAGAAAAGTCAAAAAAAAAAGTAGTTTATAAAAATAAAAAAAAGTAGTTTATAAAAAATAAAAATGACCACAAAGGAAAAACAATATTAGAAAAGCGAAAAAGCGAAAAGACATATAACGAGTAAAGAGAAGAAGAAATAAAAAAAAAACATGAAAAGGTTAAAAAAAAACAAAAAGAAAAAGAAAAAAAAATAATAATATTGAAATAAATAACAACAAGTTTTAAAGAACATTCTTAAAAGTAAAAGATAACTAAAGTACGATATTTTAAGATTTTTTCAATATATCCGTTATTTGTAAATACTTTTTGTACCTTTTTTTAACTTTTATTTATTTCATTTGCTAGTTTTTTTATTTCCCAATTAGTTTTTTTTTGAAGTTTAGCTTATATTTAGTTTCATTTTTTCATAAACACTGTTCTCTGTAAATTTTAGGATGGATTTTTCTATTTGTGATTACTATTCATTTTGACATTTTTTTTACTTTCTACTTTGCAAGAATTTTTTGTATTGTTACTGTTTTTATCTGTTTACTAATTTTTTTTTTTTAGTTATTATTGATGTAGCTATTGCTTTAGATTGTTAATTTGTCTAATTTTTTATAAGTTTACTTTTTGTTTAGTATTTGTTTTTGGTTTTTTGTTTACATTTTGTTAATATTATTTGTTATTCGTTTTAATTGATTTATCATAATATTATATTACTTATATAGTTTTCATTTTGATTTTAAAAAGTTATAAATATTAATTAATAACTGTCAATTTCTTTATAAAAATACTTTTAATCTCACAATAGGTTGTTATTTTATATCAGTTTTTAACTGTTTGTATCTGTTTTTATAATATTCAGTTTTTGCTTAGAAATCTAATAATGATTTATTGTTATTACAATTTAATTATATTATCGGTGTTCATAATTTTACATTATTATCATTTATATTATAATTACCATTATTATTCTTATCATTATCATTGTTATTTTTATTGTTATTATTAATATTTTTTGTATCATTAATATTATTTTATATCATTTTCATTAGGTTTTTACTTTAAATTAGTTTCAAACTAATTGTTAACATCCTTGATTGTTAGAACTTAGTCAGAAATATATGATGATTGATTAGAATAAATTTTTCAACCATGCTGCACAGAACCTTTTTCTGAATAAAATAATGTGTATATATATATTATATTATATAATACATATATATGCAAATTTTTTTATTATATATATATATATATATATATATATATATATATATATATATATATATATATATATATATATATATATATATATATATATATATATATATATATATATATATATAATATATATATATATATATATATATATATATATATATATATATATATATATATATATATATATATATATATATATATATATATATATATATATATATATATATATATATATATATATATATATATATATATACGTATTAGTGCTTGCATATATCTTCGCGAGAGTGCTCGATGAACTAAAGTAAATTAAAATGATTTGAATAAAAACAGATAATTTTTTTTGCAGAACATTTTTTTTGAAGAAAAAAATTTCTGAAATAGAATTAATTGTGCACAAAGGAATTCTAATTTGTGCACGAAGAAATACTTGTGCAAACGGTTATAAAAGCCTTAACGGTAAACTTAGATCAAATATGATACGAGAGGGAATAACGACTTCATAGATTTTTAATGCAAGTGTAAAATTTAGTATAAACTTAGTTAAAAAATTGATTATTTCGAAATTCATATAAAAATGGGTAGAACAGCTAAAAAAAAGATGATTGGACATAATAAGAAAAAACGGAAAAATACAGAAGTTGAGGTATATTTACCTATTAAAGTACCCACTGAGGGATTTACCTCAGAGACAGTTTCCATTGAATGGTGATATTCTAAGATACTATCAATTTATCCTTCGCGAGTCACAAGTAAAATACAAACCCACTTCTACTAATGTTAGTTGCAATTTGAAATCGAAATCCAAGGATCTTGTTTGTGAAAATGATGTTTGTACAGATCCTGATAATTCTTGCTCGGTAACTAGGATTAAAAAAACTTGGGATAATGCTGAGTTAGGAAAGAAATTTGTGATTTCTGGGTATAATATAAAGACCAAAATCATTAAACTTAATTTAAAATACAAGAATTTAATTAAATTGTCTTCTCTAAACTGGAACAGCAGCCTTGATAAGCAATCAAAGTTAGAGAAAGATTTTCTCACAGAATCCTATAAAAGACATTCTTGCTGATAGATTGAGAACAGATGATGCCAAGCTGGAAGATATAAAGTAAGTTTATTAAATAACACTTTTTTAGTATTGAGATTTTTTTTGCGATTTTAAGTAACTTAAGTAACACCATATTATTGCTTTTAAAATATTTTCGTTTAACTTCTTCTATGGTTTAGCCATCTCTCAGAAAAAACTAGAACAATTATTAATTTATTTATAAATGTCTTAACAGAATTAACTATTTCTTAGTTTTTATGAAGACCAAAAGTTGGATAGGAAAGGATATATGGGAACAAACGTTGACGAAGACTACAGTAGGAGAGTACTGAATGCAAACAGGAGAAAGAACAAGCTAGATAAGTTGAGAAACAAAGAATTAGAGACAGAAAAACTTAAAAGATATCAATGATGTTTTGTTGTCACATGACTCCATGACAGAAGAGTTTCAATTTAGCAGTTAAGAAGAAAGGCCAAACGAGGACTCTGAAATTAGCGAGGAAGAAGATTTCCTGGTTAACGGTCAAAAACGCAGGTATAGTATTATTTTAACAACATAGTTGTAATTTTCACAAGCTAAAACTGTTTTATTGAAAAGTATATAGTTATAAATAGATAGAAAAGTATTATAAAATGATATCTAGGTACAATTCTTGAGAGGATAAATCTAGCAGTGAATGTTGAAAAGCTCATTGAATGTTCTGCTATTCCTGCAACAAGGTTTGAAGTATTTAAAGCTGGAGGTATAAAAATTAATACCGCTTTCACGAAGCACACTTCATAGAAAAAAGTTCAAATACGTAGAACTTGAAGGAGACTTGGAGTGGATTTTAATAACTAATCATCTTAAAGGCTGACAACTTATTTTTCATTTTGATACCAAACTGTTGGAACAAATTACCACTGGGCTTAACATTATTCAAAAAATCGAGCAACTTGCAGTCTCAGTGAGTTCCCCGATGACGATACCATGGAAGACGGATGGACTAAACGAACGGTTAACTTAAACGAAGTAAAACAATTGTTATTGCTTTCAAGAGACTATAGAAAAAATAGTTCGAGATAGCAAAAGTTAACCGGTGTTCAACTTACCGGCAACTATATAAATTTGATAAATTAGCGCAACTTTAGGACGTAAAATTTAGTTGCTAAAATATTGTCAAATTAACCAATATATATATATATATATATATATATATATATATATATATATATATATATATATATATATATATATATATATATATATATATATATATATATTTATATATAGGTATATGTATATATATATATATATATATATATATATATATATATATATTTATATCAGTGATGGATCCATAAATTTTTCAGTGGAGTTAGAGGGGGGGGGGAGGATGTTGAAATATTTTTGTATTTTGTACCACATTTTCACTCCCCACAAAATATAGTAAAAAAACCTCAATTTCTAAGATATTTTAAGACTTTCAGAGGAGGGGGGAGGGGGAAGGGAAAGAGGGAGGAGGATGCTTCCCCCCATCATATATATATATATATATATATATATATATATATATATATATATATATATATATATATATATATATATATATATATATATATATATATATATATATATATATATATATATATATATATATATATATATATATATATATATATATATATATATATATATATATATATATATGTATAGTCTTGCATCGTAGTCAGAAAGTTTTACCCATAAACTGTAGTTTTAAAGAACGCTTTAATAAACCAGACCAGAAAATGTTTAAAAACTTGAATAATTTTTTTTTTTCTTAAATGATAGACTGCCTGCCCAAACCAAACCAGGCTATAGGATAGTTGATGTAACAACACTCCCTTGTAGCAGCAGGCTATAAGATAGTCGATGTAGCAACACTCCGCACATGTTTTAAAAATATATTTTAATAAAACATCAACAAAAACACCATCAATTAGAAAAAGATTTTCTAGTCATTACTATTGTGGTTTTTTTTATTAATAATAAAGTTTAATGTACTTCTGCATTAATTTAATTGCTTCGACATTTTGACAACAAAAAAATGTAGCTTATTTGCCGAGGTAGCAAAATTGTAGTCGAAAGAGACTTTTTTTACATATAATTTTTTTTTGACTACATTATAAGGATATATATATATACACATATTCTGAAAAAAAATTAAAATTATAATCTTAAGTAAGCGCCTTAAAAAATAATTTATATTTATATACAATCAATCGTATTAATAAAGATAATAATATAAATAATAACAATAATAGTAATACTAATAATAACAATAATAACATGTTATTTTTAAAAATAATAATAATGAGGAAATTATATAAATCTAAATAAATTGGTATTACTTTCCACACAACAACTGTTTATACATACAATGTTACAGTTACAA